AGACCACCATTATTCGAAACCTGGAAGAACTCGACACCTGTTTCGTCCTAGTATAGGACTCATCAGGACGATTTATGACTGACTCCCTTGAAACTTGACTATTTTCACAATGAGCGTAGATGTTAAGACCTGATGGGGAATCAGTGATTTATTTTCACGAGATGTGTACACCGTTATGTTTAGGCTACCATGTACAAAACAAACAGATTTACTGGCTCTATTCTATCAATTATTTTCTAATCTTCAAAAACATTTTGATTCACTTAGCCACACCCTCCAATCCAACACTGTGCTATATACTACTTATAGTCTGCATTACAACTATTACGACTATCACAAAATCATCAGTTAACAATTTTTGTAAAATATTATTAAATTATTGAGTTAATGCTTAAATCATTAATCAAAATGTTGACATTGGCGACAACAGTTTTTTTTTTTGTGTGTGTGTGTGTAGACTTTTGTCTGGATTTTGGAATTCAGTAATTCATTTCCTCTTAAGCAACTTTTTTCGTTCTATGAGTCTCTATGAGTCTTTTTTTTACGTTCTCATCTCTTTGATTATGCAAATTTGTTACATTGATTACGCTTTGGTAAAATAGGATGTGAACATTTGAGCTAAACAACACAAAATTCTGTCTTAGCGGAGTGAATATCAAGTCATAAATAAGAAGAAACGTGTGTACCATTTGATTCCACTGTGAGTTAGATGCCAAGACTGATCGAAAGGCAGTCAGAAATATTATCAGTGTGATAATTTGAAGTCACCTCCAGTGGAGTGAGGGCTATCTGGACTCCAACCAACAATAAACAATAAGTCGATTACAGACAGTGAGTCAGTTACAACATAGAACTTCGTACGTACGTACATCAGTTCACGTTGCCATACCGCGTTAGCACAGAGATGCAAATGTCGATTCAAATCCAATAGTGGTAGCGAAAGTAGAAGTATTAGCAGTAATCGAGAAGATTAGGGTTCGAAGATATGATTCGAGAAGTATAATTTCAGTGAGATAAATTTAAGAAGAGAATGATGAAAGTGATGAGCATGTCAGAAGATTAGAGGAAGACTTTCGTAGGTTACTAGTCCTCGATCATCGGTGTCTCCGAAGCATTGCTCGTGCATCCTGGGACAACCGTACAAGTAATGCTGTCGTTAGGAAACGAGTTCTAGGTAGGGGTGGCTAATCAATGGATGGTTGGTACATGTGTTACCTATGGCTAACCACTGACTGTCTCGAAGAGCTATGTTTTGTGGTGTAGGATTAGGTTGGAAGGAAGCTAGGGGCGGCCAAACCAAAACATGGCAGAAATCCATAAAGTCACTGACAAGTGAACTGAGTCATGTTAGTAGATGTAGACTTCCTGGTTGGGGTCCGTGAGACGAAAGTCACTAATGGTTGGTGAGATCTTGAACGACATGGCTCAGAATCGTTTGCAATGGCGCAAGTGCATCCACTCTTTGAATTCTATAAAATTCTAAGCTTCTGCATTCCTCATAATCTCTACCTTTCTCCTTCTCAATTAATCGTACTGAATTATACTTCTCGAATTATATATTCGCTCCCTAATCTTCTCCATTACTGCAAATACTTCTACTATCACTATCACTCTTGGATTTGAGCTGACAGTTACGTCTCTGTTCTGATGGATCTTGGCAACCTGAACTGATGTACTTATGTACGAAATTCTGCGTTGTATCTGTTTGTCTGTCTCGAGGACCCTGACCAGGTAGTCTGCATCTACCTATAGGACTCAGTACAATTGTCAGTGATTTCATGGACTTGTGCCATGCTTTGGTATGGCCACGCATATCTTTCTTCCAACCTACTCCTACACTACAGAACATCAGAACAGGAGAGATGGTTGGCAGACGCCTGCACAAGGTCGGTCCTGGCATCTGATGCCCACTCTCCTGAGGCATGACGCGTACGGCACAAACAGTACTGTATTAGAGTCTTGCAGTGAACATATAGCAGGTGCATCCAGACAAAGACTAGTCCCTAATTTGACAGAACACCCGTCCTGTTTACCTCCTCTAGTCAGTCACCTTCTATCTGTGTCATAATGGCTGTGTAATATGCCGTCAAACCATAACTTCACTCATTGCATTTATAAAGTCAATTGGTTTCAACAAGTTATCATCACAATTTATCTACCTTAATTTCCTCTTTCTTTCTGTCTTTCTCACTTATCTCTTTTTAGAAAATTATCATCGTCTATGTGATATTTTAAGACGTTTAAAAATGTCCGGTTTAGATGATTATCGTCAAGATGCAAAAAATCGTTATACATTAGCTTTACAAGAATATACTAAAACATGTATGGGTCGTCCATTGGAGAAATTAGCGGTAAGATTTGCCATTGATTTTTGATTATAGTTTGATTGTGAATGATGCACGTTCCAATGTAGTTGATAGTCAGTCAGTCAGTTAGCCACAACGTCAGGACGTCATACATACGTCGTACTGTAGTGAAGGCGAACACAGGTGAGGGCAACCGAATTGTATTTATCGCAAATTACAGAGTTACTCAGTAAAATAGGAAAATCATATCGTGTAAACGGTTAATTTGCAAATCTTCAATCCATCATTAATCTATTGTCTGACATTCCACTCACTATTCATGCGTTTCATACAAATTCCATTGTGTTCCCACTCTTCCTTTCTTGATCTCCCTCCCCCATCTTCTGCTGCCAGACATTACGTTGACACTCACGTCATATACTACTTATAAGTAGCGCGCACCACAGTATATCTGTTCAAGGTATCGATTCAAATCCTATAATGGTAGAGGTAGTAGAAGTATTATCAGTAATCGGAGAGATTAGGGTTTCGAAGATCAATTTGAGCAGAGAAAGATAAAGGTGATGAGAAATTCGGATGATTAGAATTTGAGAGAAGACACTGAATGAATGCACCTGCGCTATTGCAAACAATTTTGAGCCATATCATTCAAAGTCTATAACTATCGGTTACTATTGACTCGCTGACCCGAAGCAGTTAGTCTACACTACACGAACATGGCTCAGTTCAGTTGTCACTGACTTCTTGGGTTTGTAACATGTTTTGATTTGGTTGTGGCCCTAGGTTTCTTACATGATAAAATATCGCTTGTCGAAATGTCATTCTTACATTTGTATTGGTTGGTGTGAATCTTTCAATTGACCAGTAAGGATTGTAACTGATCAGTTTATTCAGCATATGTGTCCACCGTGTACATATTGCCTCAATATTGCCTTTAGGTTACAAATATTATCAGCAGTGTCGAAGTAAACATCAATTTTTGAGATGTAGCTACGCTTAGCTGACGACTGTGAAATAGAGGCACATAACGCACGTGCTGAATCAGTCAGTCAGATGCAACGTAGAACTTCGTACGTAAGTACATCAGTTCATGTTGCCATACCACATTAGCACACAGAGATGTAATTGTCAATTCAAATCCAATAATAGTAGTAGAGGTAGTTAAGGTCTTAGAAGTAATCGGAGAGGTTAAGGATTAGTAGATATTATTCAAGAAGTATGATTCAGTGGGATAAGTTTCGAAAGTCAAAACTAGAGGTGGTGTTGAAGAATCCAGAAGATTAGGATTTAAGACACGTGCTGAATGGATTCCACTGCTTTCCGCTATTCATCTCCTACTGTGAAATAAGTCCCATGAATAATAGCTGATTCTCATGGATATGTATTCAAAGTTCCCATAACTACATTCTCGAATTCATTCTGTCTAGGACCTTTTACCCTAGTTCTGTCCATTTATTGTTCATTCTTATTCATGCCCGTCTCTGTTTCTCGGCGTAATGTGTGTATTTTGGTATTATTCCTCTTCTCCTTTGGCTTTGAGGATTCCAAGTGAAGACTTGTCATGTGATGCAGTTCGGGGATTTTCTCGATATGTGGCCTATCCACTTCCACCGCTTCTTCCTGATTTTTTTTCTTTGCTCGAAGCTGATTTGTTCTCTCACACAGTAGGTTGTTGCTGATAGTGTCTGGCCAATGAATACGAAGTTGTATTTTCTGGATGATGGCTTTTGTGGTTTGCCAGGTTTCTGCCCTATATTATAAAAAACTGTATTTGTACTGAAAATTCTGACTTTGATGTTGATTGATAGTTGTTTTGATTTGCGGATGTTCTTCAGTTTTCTTTGAAATGCTGTCGTTGCTTTGCCAATCTGTGCCTTCACATATACTTAAGATCTATCTTGATGCTGTTTAGATAAGTAAAGGTTTTTGCATCTTCCAAAGTCTATCCTTGACGTGTGACTTGATTGGTGCATGTTGTATTGTATCTCAGAATCTTGCTTTTCCGTTTGTGTATGTTGAGACCTATTGCTGCTAAGGCTGTTTCTACTCTGGTTGTCTTCCCTTGCTTTTGTTATTGGGTGTACAATAGAAAAGTCATATCATCTGCAAATTCTAGACTATCCAGCTGTATCTTGGCTGTCCACTCCATCTCGTACTTCCCTTCACATACTAACTTCTTCATAATCCAGTCGATCACCAGAAGAAAGAGAAGTGGTAAGAGTCACTAACCTTACCTGACATTAGTTTTCACTTGTGAGCTATCCTCCGTTGCTTGATTCCGAAGTTTAATCCATCATAAGAGTTCCTTATGATGTTGGCTTTTATAGTTAGTTCTCCAAATTTCCACTTCATTCCAATCGATTTGTAATTGATGACAAACCTTACTTGATTCATCACTGAACTCATGAATCGATTAGCAACCTAGTCCAGGTATAGGACCATTATCAGTAGTGTACATCCATGACTGTGGTGGTGGTGGTGTTTGGTTCTCTGAGCTGGTTGTTTTGGTTGTGGGGCTTTCATTAATCTTCATCTGAACAACATCAGCACAAACTTCAGATAGAGGAAGTGAAGTATTCGAATTTCTGTACACGTTTGACCTGTAGCTTGTTCTGCTAACCCTCGATCTTCATTGGTTGCTGTTGACCTTAAATCTGTCGTTGTTTGAACTTTTGTTTTGATTGTATCCCCCTTTTGATTTGTCTCCTGATCCTGTATCACCTATGATTTTCCTGATTGGTTGATAAATTGGGTCAATCTCGATGTGTTTGTTTGTTGATTGCTGATTGACCTGACGTGGGCCAAGCTTCTAAAAATTCTCTAGTGTTCTTTGTGCTCCCGCTATCCAGTATTTCCACATTGTTCCAATCAAATGTGTGTCCATAATTGTCGGTGTGTATTGATATAAGTGAAGAGTTGTCGTGGCGTTTGACTGCTAATTGATGTTCATGTAAACGGAGCTGAAGAGGTCGTCCACTTTGTCCTATGTAGTGTTTTTCACAGTCTGAACAGTAGTTTATTTTGTAGATGATATTTGGTTTTTCTTCCTTTGTCATTTTGTCCTTTTGGTCTACAACATAGGATTGATTGAAGTGATTCTGTATGTTTGTGTGCCACACACCTATTCCAAATGGTTTTAGTAGTCGTGCTGTATACTCCGATATGTCTTTTATGTATGGTAGGATGATCCGTTTATTAGGTCCTGTACTTGATTTCGCTTCTGTTGACGATTTCCGTTGATATATTTTGATGAAGTTGCGTGGATAGCCGTTCTTTTGGAAGATAGTCATAAGGTTTTTTTCCTCATTTTTTAGTGCTTCGTATGTGGTGCAGTGTGTCTTCGCTCTCTTGAACAAAGTTTGTATGCAGTTGATTTTGTGTGCTCTTGGGTTGTTGCTATTGTAGTTGAGAATCACGTCTGTGTGGGTCGGCTTCCGAAATACTTGAGTTTCCAGTTTTCCTGTGTTAGTTCTGGTGATTAGTACATCCAGGAATGATAGACTCTTGTTTGATTCCTTTTCCATCAAGAATTTAATGTCATCGAAGACGTTGTTGATCTGATTGTAGATGTTCTCCAGCTCATTCCTATTGATAATGACGAATGTGTCGTCCGCATAGCTGACCCACATTTTTGGTTTGATCACTGGTAAAATCGACACTTCTAGTCTCTGCATTACCGCTTCCACGATCTATTTATTTGTTCCTGTACTTGATTTCGCTTCTGTTGATGTTTATTTGTTGAAGTTGCGTGGATAGCCGTCCATGATTCCTGCTGTTCGCAGGATTCGAACCCAGGACCTTTACTCTTACACCAGTCAAACGCTTAACGTTCAACGGTTTTAATGTCTTCTTTCTTTTCAATTGACTTTTAATAATGTTGCCGATTCGGTCATAGTTCATGATCGTTACCCAATGTACACAGACCTTGATTGTTTATGTGTAAGTCAGTCAGTCAGATGCAACGTAGAACTTTGTACTTAAGTACATCAGTTCATGTTGCCATACCACATCAGCACAGAGAAGTAATCGTCAATTCAAATCCAATAGTAGAAGAGGTAGTAAGGGAATTAGAAATAATCGGAGAGGTTAGGATTAGAAGATACTACTCAAGAAGTATGATTCAGTGAGAAAAGTTTAGAGAGTCGAAACTAGAGGGGTTGAAGAATCCAGAAGGTTAGGATTTGAGAGAACACAGAGAATAAATGCACTGGCGCCATTGCGAACGATTTTGAGCCATGTCATTCAGGGTATCTAACCATCGATTATTATCATCTCGCGGACCCCAACCAGGTAGTCGACAATTACCGACATGGCCCAGTCCACTAGTCAATGACTTCATGGATTTCTGCCATGTTTTGGTTTGGCCGCCCCTAACTTTCTTCCAAACTACTCCTACACTACAAAACAAAGCTCTTCGAGGCAGTCGGTGGTTGGGCATACGCAACACATGTCCCAACCACCTCAACTGGTGAAGTTTCAATACTTCATCTATTGATCTGACATTCTTACCTAGCACCCGATTCCTAATAATAGCGTTGCTCACTCGGGTGTCCCACGATATACGAGCAATGCTTCGAAGACACCTGTGATCGAAAACCAGTAACCTTCGAATATCTTCTACTCTCACTGGCCATGTTTCACAGCCATAAAGTAAGACGGAGCGAACCACTGCACAGTACACTCGTCCTTTAGTCAGCAAACGGATATCTCGCCTACGCCATAAATGACGCAGGTTGGCATAAGCCAATCGAGCCTTCTGAATAGGTGCTGAGCTTTCATCGGTCACCAAGCCATCGGCACTGATGAGACTCCCAAGATAAGTGAAGCGGTCTACACGTTCAACCACTTCACTCCCTATCACTAGTTCAGGTGCCAATGCAACCCAATCTTGAAGCAACATTTTGCATTTCGAGGGGGAAAACCGCATGCCGAACATGCTTGCATTGTTGCTTAGGGTAGTCAGAAGACTCTGCATTTTGTCAGCGTCTTCACCAAGTAGGACAATGTCATCGGCATATTCTAAGTCAATAAGCGAGCCACCTGGAAGAAGGTCTACTCCTGAAAATTCAGACGAGGATAATGTTATGTCTAGGAGCATGTCTATGATAAAATTAAACAAGAATGGAGAAAGTGGACATCCCTGACGGACACCACTTGATGTAGAGAATTCCGGTGACAGTTCGCCATAAGCCCTCACCCGACCAGTGGTGTTCGAGTAAAGAGCTTGTATAAGGTTAATGTACTTCTGTGGTACACCTTTCAATGACAGACACTGCCACAGAACCTCACGATCCACTGAGTCGAATGCCGTTTTTTTTTTTTTTTTTTTTTTTTTTTTTTTTTTTTTTTTTTTTTTTTTTTTTTTTTTTTTTTTTTTTTTTTTTTTTTTGGTCTATACAGCCACGTCCAGGTCGAAAACCAGCCTGGTTTTCTCGAGTCTGCTGTTCACGAGCTTTCGTTAAGCGTCGAAGTATTATTGAGGCCAATATTTTAGATACTATATTAGTTAGACTTATTCCTCTGTGATTGTCACAAGAAGACTTTTGTCCTTTCTTATAGATTGGAACAATCAAGGATTGAGACCAGTCGGATGGGATTACGTCCAGTTCCCAGATTTTACCTAAAATCTCAGTCAATCTAGCTGCTAAAACTGGACCACCATCCCTGAATATCTCAGGGGTCAGTCTATCAGGACCTGCAGCTCGTCCTCGTTTCAGATTTCCTAACGCTTTCTCAACGTCATAAAGACTAGGGGGACTTACGTCGATTTGCCATTCAGGATGACTGGAGATCGTGGGTAACTGAAGAGTGGCTCGAGGCCAGTTGAACTGATCCCTAAAGTGTTCTGCCCATCGATCCAGCCTCCTGGATTGAGAATGGATAATAAGACCATCCTTTTCCGAGATAGTCTCACTCACATTCGGGTTCTTAATACCGGTTTCTTTGATAAGGCGGAAAAGTTGTCTAGTGTTGCCTATCGCCGCTGCCTTTTCCATCGCTTTTGCTTTCGCCACCCACCACTGTTCGCGGTCGTTACGCAGACTTTTTATAAGTCTGCGCCTAAGCTGACTACGCTCTTCATCATGCTCAGAGTCAGGTGGGATGCGTTTTCGAGCATCCATCAGTTCGGTGGATGCGACTGAAATCCACGGCTTCATCCTAGCCTCATGGTTTACCTTCCTAGCAGATATCACTGCTGTTTCCACAGCCTTTTTGATATCATACCAACCTGCTTCTGGATGGGAATCGCTTGCATGGTTGCTTAACTCTCTTTCTAGTTGCTCCTGAAATATTTTCTTGGTTTGATTATCATTAAGTAAAACCCTAAGAGGCTTTCTTACGGTGTCTTTCCTACGTCCAGTAAGCCTTAAACAGATACGAGCTCGCACTAGAGCATGATCTGAATCCAAACATGTGCTCCAGAACGAGCGACAGTCTTCTATCGAGCCCCTCCATCGGTGGCTGATGGCGATGTGATCTAGTTGAGTCCAACGTTGAGACGACTTTGGAGGTCGCCAGGTCAACAGATGCTTTTCCTTATGCCTAAAGTATGTGTTCGCTAAGAATAGGCGGTTATCTGAGCACAGTTGCAACAGACGGTCACCATTGTCTGTTCTCTCAGTCGCTACACCATAACATCCACCAAGATGTCTTTCCTTTTCACCTAGTCTACCTACTTGAGCATTAAAGTCACCAGCCATTATTACTATGTCAGAGCGCTTAGCTTTTCGGAGGAGGTCCGAAAGCTTTCTGTAAAACTCATCTTTAAGCTCGTCTGCACTGCAGTCAGTGGGGGCATAGGCAGATATGACGAAGAGGCAACGGCGAGTGTCCCTATCCTTACGAGTCCTTACTGTCCCGTTTAGTCGGACAGCGCACAAACGACTATCTACTGGGATCCAGTCTAGGAGAGATAATTCTGCCCTAGGACTCAACGCTATGCCTACGCCAGCAAGACCCCTGGAAGCAGCATCAGGGCTGTTTATGTGTAAAACACGTATTTATTGTAATAATTGTACTTGTCTCATGTTATATAATGAAAAAAAATAACAGTCTGTGTTTCTATTTCATGATTTATTTATCATGTCAAATGGTTATATATATATATATATGCATTTATAGGGTCAGTTGTTAAATATGATACACGTAGAAATTGTTAGGTATTTTTTGAGTTTATTTTTCTAAATAAAATTTACATGGTCCGTAACTCCAGAAGATCATAGAATTTTCTGTAGATTTTGAGTTCCAATCTAAGCTTGGTTGAATTGCCATTGTGTAGGGTTCGTCACTAGGTGTACGCTTGAAGCTATTATTACGGGTTCACCTTAGTCGGTAAAACGCGAACGAGACAATGAACCAGCGTCCAGATAGGCTACCTTGAATCCCAAGCTGTAAAACAGAAGTCTTGGTAAGCGTAGAAAGTATATTCTACAAAAACCAAGCAATCACAGTCCAATCAAGCATACAACTGTCGTTTATTTATACATCATAGAAACGTCCTTGGGATAGTTACGAAAATAGCACACTAAAATACACAGCAACCAATCACAGCCATGGATTTACCTGGTGGGAAATGAAATCTCAAAGTCAACTGAACAGCCTATGCTGGCAAACGTGAAATCCAAAATTAAGGCATTTATCAAGCGAATTCTGGGGATCTAACATCCCCAACACATTGGAAACCTAAAACTACTCAAACATTGTTTCTGTCGACCATGAGGCTCCTTCGACATTGTGTATCTATAGCCCTCTGCATCTTCGGTAATTGAACCCGAAACTTAGGTCATTTGCTCAGATGATGATGAATATTCAGGACACTAAGACAAGATTCAGCGGTAATAAATATCTAATTTCAATTATGAACTCATAATACTGAGGAGCTTCATACTAGTACGAAATGACCATCCAGTGGTTTCATGTTTTCTGTGGTGATCTGGCGATTGTGAACTGGGTAAGATTGGTTAAACAGTTGACTGACTAGTTAGTTGGTGTAGACTATGTGTTTGTGGTCTGTGAGACAATCGTAACAGATAGTTAGAGAGACCTTGAATGTCTTGGCTCGAAATCGTTTGCAATAGCACAGATGTACATCCATTCTTTGACTTCTCCCGAATTCTAATCTTCTGAATACCTCGTCCCTTCCAACTTTCTCTTTCTAAATTTATTTCACTGTATTGTACTTCTTGAATAACATCTTTAAAGCCTAATTCTCTCGATAACCTCGAATACTTGCAATACCTCTAATACTACGAGATTTGGATTGACAATGCTGATCTCTCTGTGCTAGTGTGTTATGGCCACATGAACCGATGTACGTGTTTTTGAAGATGAACTGAGTTAAGATTTAGAGTCAGATTTCGAAAGGGAGAAGTTATAATCTTATTTACATTATTGAAACCATGAATCGATCAATGTTACACCACCATTAGAAACCTGGAAGCACTGGACGACAGTTTCTTCCTGGTATGGGACTCATCAGTGGTAGTGCGCATCCACGACTCCTGCACCCCACGGGATTCGAACCCAGGACCTTCGGTATTGTGCGCGAACGCCCTAATCTTATTTCATTAGAACACTCCTGACTACGTATCGAATGATGATAACACTTCCCTGGAAAGGGAAGCCCAGGACAGAGTAGGTTGGAGAATAATGGTCGGCGACCTATGCTCCACTGGGGTTAACAGGCGTAATTAAGTAAGTAAGTACTTCAACAAACGTTATGCTTTGAGAGCATTTAAGTTTTGATAATTAAGCTTAGACAGCATTTTAAAATTCACTTTTCAGTTTCAAAATAAAATTTTTTACTGATTCCCAGCGTTTTTTAGGGACTGTTTGATAAGTTCGTCACTTAGGATGCTTGAGGCTATTACGAGTTTACCTTAGTCGATAACGCGAACGAGACTTTTACCAGCTTCCAGGAAGGCTACCCTGAATCCCAGAATCGAAATAGAAGACTTTGTAGGCGTAGAAGTATATTCTACAAGCACCCAGCAATCCCAGTACAATCAAGCATACAACTCTCGTTTATTTATACAACATAACAACGTCCTTGAGACAGTTAAGAAAATCGCATACTAAAATACACTGTAGCCAATCACAGCCATTGATTTTGCTGGTGGGAATTGAAATCTCAAGGTCATTTGATCAGCCCCTGCTGGCGAACGTGAAAACCGAAATACGGCATTATCAAGCGAATTTTGGGGATCTAACATCCCCAACACTGTTGTCAAATTTCTACTTAACTAATATGAAAACGCAAATTGCATACCGCCGTACTTTAAATTTTGCGCCAAATACATAGAGGTGTTTTCCTTGATTCTGATTGGTTCACTCAAGGTCATCAATGCACTTTTTGTACTTTTGGTACTTTTTAATTTGTTTTCAAAAAGTATTTTTTTACGGCATAATGACATGAAAAATCTCTTGTCGTTTTCCTTTTTCCATGATTGTTTGTTGAAGAGTTTTTTTGAAAATGTTCAAAGTGCTCTAGACGCTGGTGTACGACCTGAAGTGATTAGTTATCAATTTGTATTTAGTAAACAAGAATTATGCAAGGTGATTAAAGAATATCCTGGGAAAGAGGTAAGTCAGTAAGTAATAATGGTCTAAAACAATGATTCTCCGTAACACTCTTAAATGAAAAATTCTTACAATTGTGCTCATTAGTGACTAGTAGCTGTGTTAGGAAATTTTCGGAGTTCTAGCTTGTAAGAAGACGTAACCAGTGGAGTTCAACCCTGTTTGGGTGTAGGGCAGTCACTACCGAAGACAAATAAGTGTGGTCGCACGAAAACCCTAGATTGCTCAGAGTTATTCATTAACACTGTTAAATACCGGCGTAGGAGTTCGCTCCCAAGATAGAAGGTCCCGGTTTCGCATCCTGCGAGTGTTTGGAGTTGTGAATCTGTATGGCTGATGAGTCCTACACTGTAAGATGAAACCGCTGTTGTCCGATGCTTCTAGGTTACTAATAGTGATAGTCTAACAATGATTCATATATGATTTCAATTTGTAAAGCCTACCATGTGCATAACAATGAAATCATACTCTGAAACTGTTGTCAATCGGTTTCATAGTAAATGATTTAGAAATGATTGGAGTAAAATTATCCCTTCCTTGACATTCGAAACTCTGTAGACTATAACAACAGCACTAACTGCAGCAGCGGTATCATCAGTGTTGACTTTCGAATGGATGAGACAAATTTCCAGGTTGATCGTTTTTGGTGGATCACGCCGGATTCCATTGTAATCTTAAACAGATCATATTTAGGCATCGAAATACTAGACAGCCATTATCCGTACCCACCAAACTGTTTGAAACGCCAGACACTCTCTTTTCATTCTCTCATTATTGTAAACAACACGCCGAGCACCAGAAGACGATGTGTAGGATTTCTCCGTCAGTGGCTATATATGCATTCCAAGAGTGCTGGCAGCAAACTCTCTCCATTGTCCGTTTTATCAGAAAGTTTAAGGGCCTATACCCAAATGAATCAGTCATCGATAACATTCAAGAAGACAGCGTGAAATCATGCGCTGATCTTAACTTATAGATCGTCATATATGCAACTCTCCAATAGTGTCTATCCACAACCCCCATGCTCTTCAGTTTCACGCTTGTGAACACTCCTCAACCTCTGGTGTTTAATGCCTACTGTACGAGTAGTATAGTTCCACTGTTAAAATGCAACGACTAGCCGATGATGCCCTTTTTTTTCTCCGATTTCCCCGTTAACATGGTCTAACCCCAACGATCATCATGTGATGTGAGCTACTTATAAGTAGTATATGACGTGAGTGTCAGTGTAATGTCTGGCAGCCGAAGATGGGGGAAAGATCAAGAAAGGAAGAGTGGGGGGGAACACAATGGAATTTGTATGAAACAAACGCATGAATAGTGACAATGGGTTGATGTTGTTTGCAACAGGAACAGTCCAGTTCGATATGATGAACTGATATTTTGCAAATGAACAATTTACGACATGGTTTTCCAATTTCACTGAGTAACTCTGTAATTTTCGTTAAAATACAATTCGGTTGCCCCACCTTGTGTGTTCTCGTTCACTACAATCACTGTGTGATGATTTCACAACAATCTCCGGAAGTTTCCACCTTTTATTTTATTTTTAATAGTTAGTTCTTTGTTCATGTTGACCTAATTCCCATTGTACAATGAATCGTATATATATATATATATATATATATATATATATAATTAGTTATGTAATAACGAACGTATGAAGATGATGATGACATTTACTGTTTGTTCCGTTTATCTTTTTCTCTCTCTCCCTTTCACTTGCTCTCTGTCTCTCTCGCTACCAATCGATTATGCCGGAAAAAAAATAACAAATTTTTTCTAAGGTGAAACATGGTTTAGAAAGTTTATGCAAAAAAGTTGAAAAACATTTATCCGATGAAGAGAATTTATTTCTTGTAAGTCATTTTCTTGTCTCTCTCTCTGTTTTTTTCTATGTGAAGATTGTTAAGTTACACACAATTTTTTTTTGAAACACCATGAATCGAGATCAATGTTAGTTAGACCACATCATTAGAAGAAACCTGGAAGTACTGAAAGATGGCCGTTTCGTGGTTCTGGTATGGGACTGACTCATCAGTGGTGGCAGTGCGCATCCACGACTCCTGCACCCCAGCAGGATTCGGACCCAGGACTTTCGGTATTGTAGGCGAACGCCTAACCATAGGACCACTGAGCCGGTATCTAATGATGTGAATGTCCAACTTGATCAATTCACGGAGTTGTGCAACCTCATACACAGTCTTCGGTAGTTACTGTCTACACCCGACAGGGTTGAACTTCACTGGTCACGTCTTCTCAACTAGAACTCGGAGAAGACTCCTCACGAAGCTAGTCACTAGTGTGAGCACAGGTAATTTGTGCGAACGCCCTAACCGTTAGATCTGCACTGCTGAGGAGTCCCATACCAGGACCACGAAACGGCCGTCTGACAGTGCTTCCAGGTTTCTTCTAATGATGGTCTAACTAACATTGATCTCGATTCATGGTTTCGAAAAATCTCTTTTTCAATGTGTGTGTACAGTTTGTGTTTTATGCTATTTGTAGGACCTGTTCGACATATTGTAATCATCGTTAGGTGTGTGTGTGTAAGGTAGACAGAAAGAGAAAGTGCTACCCAGAAGGGTTTAATCAGTTCACTAACATTAATGATTAAGTCATAGTTTCAATGCGTAAAAACTAGCATCTTGTTGTTGGGGATGTTAGATCCTCAGAAACTCGCTTGATAAATGTCTTAATTTTGGATTTGATTCATGGGCTGATCAGTTGACCTTGAGATTAGTATACTATTTTTTATGGTTATCCTAAGGATGTTTCTATGATGTATAAATAAACGCGATTTGTGTGCTTGAGATCACTGTACTTGCTGGGTGTTTGTAGAATACACTTTCTACGCCATATCAAGAGTTTTTCGTCAGTTAGTTAGGGGCAATGGATCAGAGTAGCCTACCGTGTCACTGGTTCATTTGTCTTTGTTCTTGTTTACTGACTAAGGTGAACTCGTTATAGTTTGAAGCAAATCAAGTGATGAGCATAACACATCTTCATAATACTCTCAAATGAAAAAAATCGTTAAGTTTTGCTCACTAGCGACTAGGAGTAGATTCGTGATGAAATTCTTAGTTTTCTAGTGAGAAGACGTGACCAGTGGAGTTCAACCTTGTCTGGTGTTGGCAGTTACCTACCAGAGACGAATAGGTGAGGTATCTCAAAATCCCTAGATAAATCAGAGTTAAACATTAACACCGTTGAATGCTGGCCCATTAGTCCAGAGGTTAAACGTCCGCACACAAGATTGAAGGTCCTGGTTTCGAATCCTGCGAGTAGCAGGATTCTTCGATGCACACTGTTAATTAGTTGTGTCTTCCACCATGAACGATCGCTTGAAATCAACTCATCCAATTGAATCCTTATTTGGCTTCTTACTATCGCTGGCACCTAAAACTGGGGTTCGCCTAATTATCATATACGGAAGTCGAAATCACGCAGCCCACGAAGTCTGGTGATCCCGACGACGAACATACATAATGCAACCGCTAAAGTAGTCTATAATGTAACTATTATTTGAAAC